TCGTGGAATTGAATGTACCAATAAAAGCATTATCTTCTTCAAACACGCATACTGTCAAACTCTCTCTCTCTCTCTGCTGTAACTTCTGCAAAATATAAAAATTGCAATGTGCAAAGTGATATGAATAAATTGTGAGATTAAGTAAACAGAGAGCTAGATTAACGGATTTTTCTGAAAACAATTCTCAAAGGTTCCAAATCACGAAACTGATGACATTTCGAATCAGACCACACTCGTTACTTAATTAAAAAATCATCTATGACATACACTCTATAAAACACTAATTTAAACCAAATGCAACTCAAAATAATACTGACCAAACTATCAATAATCCATATTTCCAATAAATTAAGAACACTTTGAACTTTTTACAAACAAAGCCGCTTAAACATAGACAAAACTAGTGATATTGCGGGAAAACAAGGGAAACAACTCAAACAACAAAAAAAAATTTATATCAAGACACCTGAATTATCAACACTGTTACGCATCATGAAATCCAAATAAGAATTCCAAAACAGAATAAAATTAAGTTCAAATAATATTGGTAAGTTTTTGGGGAGGCTATGCCGACCCAATGTTAATAACTGTTCGTCAAATCTTACTGCCGCGGTAATCAGGTCAAAAAATAGTACCTTGATCTTTTCTAAGCTGACTCATCAGTCATCACAGACATTTACAATATTGAAAATATTTTCATTCTTTAATTTCATATCTGCAATTTGTAAAGATAATAATTCTCTGAAAAATTCTTGATTTTTGTTTAAATCACTACTCCGTGACGTCATACTGCCGCGGTAATCAGGTTTGGCATACGTACGTACGTCTGTAATAAAAGTTCTGGAATGAAAACCCTTCAAAATAATAACTTTATCAATATTTTTTAAACAAAAAGCATAAATGAAAATTTGTAAGTAAATGCTTTAATTTAGTGGCAAATATTCTTTATTATTCTTGATAACAATTTTCCAATTACTACGCAGCAACCAACTGTTTATGACGGGTCATTAACTAGAACGTTCCAACACCGTATTCTCCATTGTATACACCGGTCTTACTGACGATATTTGAGACCGGTGTATATACAATGCCGTATTCTCAATATCATGCATGTTCTTTTGTTGTTATAAACCATTAAAAGTCCTTAATATTTTTTAAAGACAAATAATTGTAAACTGTCGCTTACATCAGAGACATGGATCATGCTTGCGTGATAACTAAGGAAAACTAACTTATTAGTACACCCCAGGAGGCTGTACGCGGAAAACGGTCATAAACCGCTATATCATAGCTGTTAGTAAATATTTTGCATACATTTAACTAAAAATTCACTGAATGGTGATGAGCATATAGTTTGAAACATTATATTCTTGAACCATTATCGCCGAAAAAAAACTATTTAACTACAAAACCCCTATAAGGACCTTCCGACAAAATTCCAGCACAATATTACATTTTACATTAGCAAAATAAAAAAAGCAATACTTATATTTTCATCTTACATAATTCATTAATCAAACTTTTAACATAAAAAGTATATTTGGCAATTGACAGATCCCTACTCTGATCTTTTATTTGTATAGGAATAAATTTAAACATGTGCTCTTTTGTTTAGGAATATTTTGTAGTGAAAGTCTTATATATTCACTGATCTCATAATTAGAATTAGACAGGTCAGGGATTTATACAACCAGTTGTTTACTTAACTATGCTCATTTTAATCCCAATAGAAACATTCAAATATTTGGGGTAAAAACATGACCAAAGTACCTAGTAGTCGTTTACCCGGTGGTGATCCCATTAAACTGATTATAGATTCGAATTGATTAGAAAACACAAATAGAAACATGTGTTTCCGTACAACAAAAAATCGGAAGTAAAGTGAACAGTTTAATTGACAGAAATATGTGGTCAAATATGTTTTAACAAAGAAAATAATTATTTCAGAGAAAGACGCAAAAGATCAGTATGACCCCATATTGTGTAATTAGAAAGTTTATTCAATTCTAGGGCATACATCATAATTTGATAGTCCATGTGTAATAAAATTCAAATTTTCAATACAGATTATGAGATACATAAAAATATTAAAGAATAAGAAGCATTAATTAAAAAAAAAAAAAAAAAAAAAAAAAAAAAACCGCATACATATACAAATTATTACAGTCGAGGATCGGGAAGTCATTAACATATCTTACGAAACTTTAATTTGAAAACGATATTTGCGCGCGCTGAAGTGATTAATGTTTATTTGAAAAATAAAAAAAAACAAAACTTTTATGTTTGTGTTCTAAAAATAATCGGCGGCATAAGAGGAATTTCTTATTCATTTTACAACACTTGAAAAATTACTACAGAAAATGTGTTGTTGTTTTTTTTTGTTTTTGTTTTCAACAAAAGTGAGTGTATTTTAAGTTTATTTATACTCGGCGCCGGAATAACCATATGTCCGAGATTATAGCATCTGGGACGTCTTTTTCAAGCAGATTCTTCCTGGAAAGCCCATTCTTCGGTGGTAAAGGAGACGACAATACCGTCAAGGCATCAACTTTCTGACTGACGACAAAAAAAACGGCATCTATTAGCGCCAAACCTCCAGAGTAAGTCACGACAGGTCAACCAATCACCTCTGGTACTTATGATGACTTGACTATGTCCTTCCGTGTGCCTTCTCCGCGACGTGCACGCCTCTGGAGGAAATTGGAGAAGTTTCAACAAAAACTTCCAAAACACGCCATTTATAACATCATTCATAGCACTGACGGCTTCGATGTTCTCATCTATTTGCGGGAAATGGTCGACAGGGAAAACCCTACGTAATAACCGCACACCCTGTTAACAACAGATTTTCCGCAGTATATATTTCAAGCTAGTGAGGTTTAAAAAATACACAAGCTATCGATTAACTACCATTAGTTGGTTGAGTATTGGCGGTAAAAAAAGAAGATATAACTTCCTGATCAATTTTCACTTAGGTTGATTCAGTTTTGAATAAGCTTTGCAGATATGTATTTTTTCAAGAAATATTTAGCTTTAATATTATCCGACGCCGTCAGTAATGAAATGGGAAATAATTTTCTGAAACGTGATTTTATTTGAGATTTGCTTCTGGAGAAGACAACCTTCTGTCCGTAGAGCAAGAATATTAATACTCATCACAAGACAGTATCTTATTGATCTCAATTATGGTACATCTAAACGTGTATAATTTTTATGTTCAATAAAAATGTTGCATCACTTGCAGTTGTTATTATCATTCAATAATATTAAAATGACATAAAGTATTTATGATGAACAGTCCTAGAATATTTTGACAAAGGAACTTGAAATTCTATCAAATAATCAATATTAATTATAATATCCAAATATACCCCCTATATACTATAAAAAAAAACAGTATATAGGGGGTATATTTGGATATTATAATTAATATTGGTTATTTGATAGAATTTCAAGTTCCTGTGTTTGTGTTTTTTTATAGTATATAGGGGGTATATTTGGATATTATAATTAATATTGGTTATTTGATAGAATTTCAAGTTCCTGTGTTTGTGTTTTTTTATAGTATATAGGGGGTATATTTGGATATTATAATTAATATTGGTTATTTGATAGAATTTCAAGTTCCTGTGATTTTGATAAGGAACCGTCAGTTGTAAAATGTTATTGTTATCTGATAATGAACAGTCGTCATACTTGCTGTATATGTCATTTATTATTGACAGTTTTAGGTTTTTCAAAATTTTGTATGATTAACAGTCCGAATGTAGACCTCAATGAAATGTTCTGGAATATTAACAAAATGAATAGTCAACCACATTAACCATATATATGAATGTTTGAACACAACAGTAAGGATAAATAGCGCAATGTGCATATCTTTTTATTTTGGTAGCATATTTTAAGCAAAAAGAAAAGACACTATAAGTCTGAAACATTCTCTCATAGCCTCCCCATCAGTACATTCAGTGCTTTGATCTGTACCTGTTTTTAGAAAAATGATGAGATCAGCTTTCACGTCGAAAACTTTGTTTTGGTACGAACTACTTCCTTACGCAAAGTTAACGCGAATGAATACTAATGATATTTTTTACTGATTATATCCTGAAAACATGCAAATAATATACGATAGAAATAACACAATCAAAAAATGAACTACTGACAATTCAAAATCTTATCACTTGTGTGTGACAAGAAAATCTGTGTAGAAACTACTTTGCGTTGTTCGGTACCCATTCTTCTATTGCAATCCCGCAAATTGTGATAGAACTGTATTCACTGCTAACGCAGCGAATACAAAAACGGATGTTCACTTTTTGACTATTCAACAAAAAGATATTTTATACGCGAAAAGCACACCAGGGTGCAAACAACTAAATTTATGAGTGTCATTGTTACTCCAGAGAAGAAATTGATGTCCTATCGGGGTTTAACGTCGAAAAATAAGAATGAATCGAGAAAAAAATGGCGGCCATTTTATTTCATTTTATTTAGAAAATAGACCACGTGACCAGATTTTATACTGTTAAAAAATACTGTTACCTATGTAACACAGTACAAAATTCTTAGTCACGTGGTACACTTGCATTAACAGTAAAAATAACACCCAGAGGCCTATGGGAAATTAGCATTACGAAAAATGTGAGGGGTAATAAATACAAATAACATGATGAGCTTTAAAATTTTGTGCTTTTTGTTGTAGAATAACATGTACATTAAAGGGACTCCGCTGGCTTTAAGCAGGATGGAACTGGAACTATTTTTTTACTGGGCATATTTCTTTATCACATTTTGCGGATCGTTCCGTTAAAAGTGGCTACAGTACTTATTATATAGTTGGATAACTGACCAGATCATTTCATATTCTCCTTGAGTTACTCATAATTTTCGCTCTCTTTGTTAATTGGTACACAAAGAATAAGAGATTTATATTTAATCTTTGTTAGGCTCTTCGACATCAGTAAGTGCCCTTAATATCCTTTGCCTTAATTTGTTTTCAGTTGGAGTCACTTCACGCACGATATGGCGCGGTCACGTGCATACAGGTGGGGTGAAGACGGACTTATGGGCATCACGGATAGACAGTGTCGTTTATGTATGGCACTAGCGCTCTGGAACACAAAGATCCAATACTTAAAGAGAGGCTGTATGGACTTAATGGACATCAGGTATTTTTTATCTACATAATGGGTTTAACCCTTGAACTTTTAATTTTAAAATGTGTTGCCTTTTGATACCTA